TTCCAGAAACTTCAGAACCTTGAAAAGGGAAAGATAATGGGTGAAGTTGAACTTGGAAGAGTGAGACCTGGTGAACTTGCCTCAGGATTCCTGGCCTTTGCAAGTCAGGGCAATTCCATGCCTGCCCACGGCCTTCATGTTGATTTTGGATGGATCCCACCACTCTTGGCCTCAGGGCGTCTTTCAGTCTGGAGATGACAGACCTGAAGGGCCTCAGAAATGTTCTGTAATCGGTGTGGGGTGAAGTCGGAGGTGGTATGTGGCACCTTGGTGTCCCCTGAAAGGTTGATTATGGTTCACCTTAAATTCTTGCCTCTACATGGCTTCCTGGAAATCATCAGAAGGAAGAGAGATCCAGTCCCTGCACCTACCCTTGATCACCCCTAGCCCTGGCCAGTGGGGAGCAGGGAACACAGAAGACACATACACTGAGTCTCAGTTCTGCCTGGAATTTCCCTGTCCATCAGCCTTTAGGCAGAACGGAGGTTATGGAAGTGAGTGTGTCCTACCTTTGCCCCCTCTGAGCTGGTGGAGAGCCCAGGTGAGGAGGAGGAAGGAAGAAGCAGGGGGCTTTGGGTAGTGGACAGACATATAGGAGGGTCTTTGTGGAGCATGTACTTGAAGAAATACTTTTTCACACACCACACCCTCCCCAGAGCCCCTCCCCTGCCCCATATATGATTGCACCACTTAGAAATATTAGACAAGAAGCTTTGTGTTGAGAATTAGGACAGTTTATTGTTTGATCAACATGCTGAATCTTCCACATTTTACACAGTTTTATGTAAAGTCAGTGTGGCCGTTTATGCCTGCTGAGCCAGCAAGAGATGGAAATACCACCCTCCATGTTCCTCATGGCTAGTCCCTTCCTGGGGTGGGTGAGGAAAGTGAGGGGGAGTTGATGCACACCATGATAGGAACTGGCTTTTGATATATAGACACTTCCCGCTGGAAGGAAGCACCCAAACCCCACTGCCGCCAGCATCACCCACACAGGGCTGGCGTCCAGGGAGTTCACACATTGAGAGCCCAAGGTTTTGGAACACCTAAACAGTTCAAACAAAAATTCAAAGGGTGCCCTAGTCTGTGGATGCCCACAGCCATCAGAGTGGAGCTGGGGAGTGGCCCTTCTTTGCAATGGAGGAGCCTGAAATGTACGTGGATTCTTTCCTGGCTCACTCAGATACTGGAGAGAATCTCACGTCCCAACCAGAGTAGAGAGTCTGATGAACACCCATGCACAGCAGCCCTTTATGTGCAGGGACACAGTCACGTTTGTACACACAGGTGGGTGGCGGATGGAGATGGAAACATCTTGGTTCTGACTGCTTTCGACCTGCTGGATGACTAAGGAAGTCACCCTTCTCTATCTTGGTTTTCCTGCCTGTGAAACAGGAAGGGGTTGAGACCTCTGCCTCACACCGCTGTAGCCGGGTGACAATGCCTCACATTCTTGGGGAAGAGGTAGTTTGGAAACTAGTGAGCATACAACCCAGCTTGGTTGATGCAGACAGACAGACTTCTACTTATCTGCCCCTCATGCGGCTCAGACACGCCTCACAGTCCTCGGCTGCCTGTTCTCACATTCTGAGTCCTCACCTGCCTTCGCTGTGTGAAGGAATGAGGCTACTCTGCCTGCAGGACACCGAAGCCAGCGGTGTCATAGTTGTCACATCTGGTCCCTGAGGGCAGGGGCTCCAACACTGGCCGCCATCAAGATGTGTCTGCATCCTTAGCTACCCCCATTGCAAGCCTTGTTTCTGTTGCCTGAGACACCTGAACTGACCTGGCCATTGCTCCTCGGACCGGGGAACAGTACAGAATTTTGGAGGATGCTGACAGGAAGGGAGCAGTGATGGGAAGAGAGTGGTGACCGTGAGAGCAGGGGGGCCTCTGGCAAAAGAAACTTGCTTATATCAGTCAGCAAGCGAGCTCACCCTGGATGACACAACTGCACCTCTAGCACTCAAGATGCTCCTGTCACACTCATTCTGTCGCGTGCACATTTCAATATGCATCTGCTTTTTCCATCTTAGGCTCAATTTTTCAGTGCCTGCGAAACAGGAGCTTTACCGACAGCTTTTCTTTGACATCCCCAAAGGGGGGGGGGGGGGAAGAGCGCCTAAAGAAGATGAATCCACTCATCTAGTCAGGGCTAGTCTTGGAGGAGAGGGACTGAACTACTGGTGAACAGAGATCATTTCCCAAAAGGAGTCCTCCACTTTGCCGTGTACTAGCCCATCAGGATTCAGCAAAGATGTCAGTCACTGGGGATGCCGAGGCAATGCCAAGACCTAACCTGGTCATTTCATTATTGAGCCTGAACTCTCTGAGTTGAGATCCTACCTATCAGCAAGAGGACAGTGATGGCACCTGCCTGCTGAACACGAGGGCCAAAGAACAGTGCACTTCTGTGCAAGAGCTCTGGCTGCCCTACCAGGCACCAGGAAATGTGGGGGGAAAGGAGGGTCCTGGAATGGAATGGCACCACCGAGATGGGAGGACAAGATGGGGCAACTGCCCTCACCTTCAGAGGCCCACAGGGCTGGGGAGAGCCTGGACTCCAAGGAGAGGGTGTTGTACCTGCTACAAAAGGCAGGGCTCACAGAGGCCACATCAAAGCAAACAGTCTTGCCGAACCGGTTTGGCTCAGTGGATAGAGCATCGGCCTGCGGACTCAGGGGTCCTGGGTTCAATTCCGATCAAGGGCATGTACCTTGGTTGCGGGCACATCCCCACTGGGGGGCGTGCAGGAGGCAGCTGATTGATCTCTCTCATCGATGTTTCTGGCTCTCTATCCCTCTCCCTTCTTCTCTGTAAAAAATCAATAAAATATATTTTAAAAAAAAAAGCAAACAGTCTTTATTGTGTCTCTTCCTGCTCCTGTAGGCTGTGATGGAACAGAGTTCATGGTGCCTTGGATACGTGTGCACATGAGAAAGGAACTGAGTTTCTACTTTTTTTCTTTACAGGAATGTTTTAAGAAAAGCTACTCTTTAGTACAAAGAAAATAAAAATCCACCGTACATTCATTCCACTGAGACCCAGGGCAGATCCCTGCAAATGGGGGCTGTCCCAGAGGCCACAAGCAATGGCCCTCGCTGCCACCCAGGCCGGATGCTGTAACATGGGCTCCGGTAAATTCTCACGAGGTAAGTAAGCACTCTTCCAACGAGCACCACTGGGGGGTGTGCCATGGTGGGGGGTGCTGGCCCACGAGGCATGCACACCCGTGCATATAAGTACATAGAAGGAGAAATGGTGCACATATTCCCGTGGGCTATTTTTGCCTGTAGTTTAACACATCTATGTAATTATTTTATTGATGGCAAGACAATCACAAGTTTTTTGACAATATTAAGTACTTCTTATTTCAACACGTCGCAGTACTTTTGAATTTTCAAAACTGTTATCACAACGCAAGTTCCAACTTGAGAGCAGGAAGAACAAGGGTATACGTTGAGCACATGTACCTCTGTGGGAATGTGTGTGGAAGGTGTATACACAAGTCTATCTCTATATATAATTATGTACACACATATAAAAACTAAACACACAACACTGGAATTACGTTCGTACGTTGGTCTTTGCCTTTAGGAAGAGGAGCTCAGCGGGAATTCTGCTCCCTCTTTTCTCCACCTGAAGATAAATTTCTCTTTAAAGACCAGCTCTGACGCTCCATCTCCTTAGCTGACCATGTGTGGCAGGCCCACTGGACAAACAGCAGTGGGTCCTGCCAGGTTTCGCTGCCCTTACTGGCTGCCATTTTGGATGCGTTTCTGAGAAGTTCCAAGATTCATTGCAATCACTTGTTTGAGCACTGCTTTGTGGAGGAATTCACACCCCAGATGGCCCTTTAGCTCACCTATGACATGCCCAACAGCAGCCTGGAGGAAGTCAGCGCCAGCTTGGAGGGCGGGGTTTACTGTTTTTTGGCCAGAGCTGCTGTTCTCTGCCTGGCTTTTTCTCAGGCTCGGGGCTGGTGAGTCTGGGTCTATTTGGAATACAGGCCAATCACTTAGTGAGAAGAGAGAGTTCACTTCAGAGATTTTACAGGTGCTCAGACTTAGCCCTTCGCAGAAATGAGTCAAAAATGGCAAAGGTCTGGGCAGAGAGACCCCACCGCAGCCCTACTCTCAGGCAACGACATCAGCAAAAGATTGCGCGCCCAACTGCACCGCGCCAGTGGGGCAAAGCACATCAAGAAGTCAGCTTTTCCAGAACAGCACTGAGACCTGAGGACATGGGTCTTCAAGGTGGTGGTTCTGCAGACAACACTCCCTGAGGCCACACAGTCTCTTTGCTCTGCCCTTAGATTCAACCCAGATATGTGTGCTGAACGCTGGGCCGGGTGGTTAAGACATGTTCAGAAGTACGCACGGTGCCCCAAGTCTACGAACCAACTACACATCAACATGACCCACAGTTGCCAACAGCACCCCATCCTTCCTTCCAGGGACCTCTTGCTCTGCCAATCACTGAGCGGGCCACAGAGAACACAAGGGTGCCTGTGGCAAGTGCCCTGCCCAGCCCCACCTTCAAGGCTTCTCAGGGAGGGGAAGGGAGGGGCAGCCGTAACTGCAGTGGGGCCTGGGGCAGGGCTCCCTGCTGTCCAGGAGACCTTAATGTCAGCTCGGGGCAAGCCTGGTGTCCCATTCTGGCCACGGAAGAAGGACAGGGTCAGAGCTGCCTCCTCAGAGGCTGCTTTGTTCAGTGTTTGATTTAACCAGGTAGGACCTGTTCGGTGGGACCTGGTTGGTCAGGGCAGGATGGCCCAGGATTGGAGCCTAATTAGGTTGCTCAGTTAATGTTTTAGTTTATTGGGCTGGGGGGGTGGGAGGAGGGCAGAGTCAATGAAGAGTTGAAAGAGGACAGGAAGGAGGAGGTGTGTGGAAAAGGTTCTCTGTAAGTTTACAAATATACAAAAACAAAAAAGCACATCTTTCAAATAAAAATGACTACATTTTTATCTGGCAAAAAGTTGTATACACATGATTTAATTTTTTTTTTTTAAATTTTAACCGTTTTTGGCAATCTTAATAAAGTACAATATATTACAACCAAACCAAAAAATAGTTGTTTGAGTAACAGCTGTTAAGAGTGACGTGATCCCTGATGCCCAGCCTCCCTCCCCACCCCACCCTACTCCTAGAGACAGAGAGAAAAGAAAAATCCTCCCATCTGGATAAGCTTGTTTCCCACCCCCCTTAGGAAGCTAACCAATAGGAAGCAACACAACAAGCGAGAAGTGTCGGAGGAAGCCTTCAAGTCAGGCTGCATTAGCAGGAGCAGCCGCCTTCGCTGGCTGGGGGCTCCTGGGGTTTGTCCAGCTTGATGTCGATCACTGCAGGGGGCTGGGCTAAGGAAGAGGACTCTCACAGAGAAGCTGCCACCCGGCCTCACGCCCTCCCTGTGTACCCCTCAGCCGCCCTGCCCAGCCCCTCTTTCCCTCCACAAACACCTGACTCTGCTTGGCCTGGGGAGGGAGGAGGCAGGGCCCCAGCTCCCACCCTTCCTAGCCCACCCCAAAGTGCACTAGAGGTAGAGAGCCTGGATCCCACATCTGGAAGCACAGGGCTCCTTGGGCCTCGCCCTAGTCTGCTGCAGCAGCATGGACCCCTCAAGCTCTCCGGTCAGTGTGTCACTTAGACTTGGAGGATGCCATGTCCCTGTGGAAGGGCCTCAGCACAGCCCCCTCTCCAGCCTTTAATCGGTGCCCAGGGACTGTAGGCTGGAGAAGCACCCATCAGAACTACCAGAGCAGTGGGTTCAAACTGCAGAGACGGGCTGTTCCCTCTGCCCTCAGCAGGTTAGAAACTATCATGCCAGGCCGATCGCAGTTGAGCACCAGGCCCTCCACACCACACAGAATGACTCTGCCTGGCCAGGCTCCGGGGCCGAGGCCGGCTGTGGGACTGCACTGGGGTCGGGGGAAGGGGTGGGAGGTATAAGGCCTGCTATGGGAGCTGTTGCTGGCATCCTAGGGATGTTTTTGTGGCCCCTGTTTAAGGACTATGGGAGAGATTCTTCTGGCTTTAAGCACAGTCGGCCCTGGGTGCCCACAGGCTCTGCATCTGTGGGTGGATTCAACTAATTGTGAATAAAAAATATTTGGAAAAAAATGTTGCTGACGTGTGCAGTTAAGACTACAACGCTTGCATCTGAACTGAACATGTACATTATTTTTTGTCATTGTTTCCTAAACACTACAGTTAACAACTATTTACATAGCATTTACATTGCATTAGATATTATAAGTAGTTTGGAGATGATGTAAAGTATATGGGAGGATGTGCATAGGTTATATGCAGGTGCTACGCCATGTTATTGCAGGGACTTGAGCATCGTGGAGCTTGATATCCAGGAGGTGGGGGGAGATCCTAGAACCAATCCCCTGTAGATACAGAGGGATGACTGTACTAGAAAAAGCCACGCTTCTCCTAAAGATCAGTTTCCCTCCTTGCCATTTGTTGGCCATTCAGCCATGGCATATATTTTGAGTATGACGTCATCTTTCTTGTCCTTGTTTTCCTACCTTTATTTTACCTGTGCCCTGATTTTCTCGTGTGTGTGTGTGTACACATATACATTTTTATCTTGTTTGTGTGTGTGTGTGTATCTGTATCAATATATCTATATCTATATCAACATATCTGTATACACATTTTTCATAACGTAACAGAGTATAAATAAACAAGTACATCTATCTATATATAAAAGCCTAATATGCAAAGTGTCCCCTCGGGAGTTTGACCAACCGGGAGTTCGATCGCTCACTATGACATGCACTGACCACCAGGGAGCAGCGCGGAACGAAGGGAGGCCCCAGCCAGCAGCCACTAGGGACCCTACTTGTGCGTGAATTTTGTGCACTTGGCCTCTAGTAGATAATAAATAACTACTTTCTTCCTAATTGGGCAAATCAGACGATCTCTCTGAACCTCAATGTCAGCTTCTGGTGTTGCCTGTGGTGTGGGGTGGACCATGTGAGTGGCGTGTGACCCTGTCCTGGAAGCAGTGGGGAGTGCAGGGGCTGTGCAGGGCTGGGCCGAGGAAGCAGGCAGGACGCGGGAGGAGGCATCTGTTGGAGGGCTGCCTCATGTACGCAGAGTAGGCTGAACCGTGTTGAAATCATATGTGACTGTAAAGAGAGAAGCCCTCCCTGCAGTGGCGACTCTACTTACACCATGAAAAGCAGATTGGTGTCCACTGTAAATAAGGGCAGCATCACTATGTCTCACTCCCCGCCCCTCCCACCACTCCATGCACATCCCTCTGGTATCCCACCCTGTTTGGGAGGTGACAGCTTAGGTGGTTCGAGCTGGATGGGTCTTAAAGACCTTGGAGCTCAGCCTCGTCCCTGCTCAGAGCCCCACACCATATCCATCAGCGGGAAGCTGGGCTGGAGGCAAGGCCAGTGCTCATCCACTGCTTTGAAGTACTAAGAGGATAACTAGATGGGTAAATGGCTTCTCCAGCACATCTCTCAATCACTCGTCAAGGAAAAAGGATACTCCCTTCTTTACTTTTCTCCTGAACATTCTCCATTCCAGGCAGAGCCGATGCCACACGTCGAAAGAGCTGGAGACAGGGGGAGATGCAGCATGAGCCCCCCACACCCTTCTTTCCCTCCTGCTCCCACTGTGTCTCCACCCTCTTGCCTCTACTCACCCTGCGGTTGGGCTTCACTGTCCTGTCTGACCCACTGACTGTGTCCTGGAGGGTAGGGGCTGCATCGACTTCTCTCTCCCCAACCCCCGGTGCCTCTCACAGCGTTGGGCCTCGGCAGGCCTCTTACCCAGCAGGCTGGCCAGGGGTCATGAAGAGCTGAGCTTGGGTCATGGTGTCTGAAAGGGACCTATCTCAGTGCAGATAATGACTTAGACCAGCAGTGGGCAACCCCTGGCATGCATGCCAAACATGGCACGTCAGTAACTTTTGCTGGCACGCAAAACCCTCTCTTATAATCTTCCATTTACAATTTTTTTCTTAATATCAACTTTTTTATTTTTCAGATAAATTCAGTGTAGGTGCACCTTAGATACATAAATAATTTTACATAACAAGTTATCTTAAAGACCATAGACATAGATTAATGAGAGAGGGGAAGAGCAATTTCTATGCCTCTTGCCTTAACTCTCCCTCCCTTCCTAGATTTGACCAGTGTTTTGGTTTCATCCACATATGCTTGTGAATCTTTGTTCTCAGTGATGAATTTTGTTAAGTCTCGTAATAGGAGTAGCCTGACGGATGAAAGTAGTAGCTCGTGCATATCTCTGAAGGTCACGAAATATAAACCTGATGTAAAATCTGTCATCAGTGATGCAACAGCAAAAATCCCACTGATAATATCAAACAAAGTCATAAAGTTTTCTGGCGGACTATCAGTGTACACGTATACATTAAAAAATAAATGTATTTTTCATCATCATATACTGTGTTTTTGTCGCTTGAATGAATTTTATTTCTTCAAGATTCTTCACATACATACACCTTAAGAGATATCAAGTAGGCGTAACATGTTCTCAAAAAATTAGGGTTGGCACGCAGAAGAATTTTGAGTCAGAGATTTTGCTGGTTTTGGCACGCACTCACAAAAAGGTTGCCCACCCCTGACCTAGACCCTGGGAGACAGCCCTTAGGAGGGCTTCTGTCCCGCTGCCCACGTAGGGACCAGGTGTGGGGAACCAACTTCCCTCCTGCCCTTGAGACAAATGAGCCTCTCAGGGAGTCCTGCACGTTCACAGGCGTCAAAGCAGCTGGGCACTGGGAGCCAGGGCCACCCAGTCACAGCAGAGAGACTTTTCTGAGAGAAGAACACAGGAGTGTGAACGTGGTATTGTGGGTTTGTTTGGGTATGGCCGTGTGATGTGTATACTGTGTGGAATATGTGTGGTGTGTGGTGTCTGTGTGTGTGTGCATTTGTGTAAGTGTGTGGGGGCGTGTGTGCGGTGTGTATGTACACATGTGGGGTTTCTGTGCGTGTAAGTGTGTAAGTGCATGGGGAGAAATGTGTGGGGTGTATGTGTGCTGGGGCGGGGTGCACAGGAGTGTCAGGTAGGAGGTGACAGTAAGTACAGAGCGGAAGTACAAGGCACCAGAAGATTCTGAATGCTCCCCTTTTCCCCACGGACACCAACTGCAGGAACTCAGTGGGCTCTGGGCTTACAGCTTCTCTGAGGACAGGGTGAGTCTTAGTCCGGGGTTCACCCAGAGACCAGCCTTATCGGAGCACCAGGCTGGGTGAGGGCCCTGCGGAGCACCCAGGGCCAAAGGCAGTGAGGGCCTGAGTGGTGAAGCCACTGGCCTGCCTGGCAGGGTGTGGGCCCTGTGGGTGCTGCAGAAAGGGCTCTGAGTGGGGCAGGCAGGATCGGGCGAGGGTGCAGAGGGCCTGGGTCGCTCCTCCGAGCTTTCCTTTGTGGCCCTGACCCAGGCAGCCCTGCTCTGAGCGTCAAAATGGTCACAGCTTCTACCAATGGCCAAGCTGACGGTTAGAAGGCAGCTCTTGGGGGTCACACGTGGGTCTCTGAGAGCAGATATGATCAGGGTTAGGGCCCTGGAGACCCCTCTGAACCACACAGGGTCTCAACTGACCACACTGAACTCCTGCTCAGACCATTGTGGGGCTCCAGACCATTCTAGGAAGGGAGGCATCAGCGTCTCCCTGACCCTGACCGCTGCCTGCCCTCTGCGCCCCGCCCCCCAGGACTTTCCATTCAGGTGCAAAGGGCAGCAGCCAGTGTCTCCTGTATGCCGCCAGGGACAGGGACGGGTAGCTCCCTCCTCCAGGAGACACCACGGCAGCCTGGCCTTACAATGAAGGAGGCTGGGAAGGGGGTGCGAATGAATGGAGACATTGTAGTCCTTTAGGGGACTGAGTCCTGGAGCTTGGGGCTCCCACTCTGTCTCTGCTCCTCTGCCACCTTCCCCACGGCCACTGGCACTGTCCGCATGGCGTGAATCTTCACCGCACCCGGGCCAAGGCTGCATGGGCAGCTTGTCTAGTGTTCCCCGAGCACCAATGGGGATGGCGGGCAGAAGTGACACCCCAGCCAAGCCATGCTCCCCACTTGGTGTCCCCTCCCCAGGCCACAGGCACCCCTCCTGCCCCGCCTTTGCTCATGCTGTTCCCCTGGCCTGGATATCCTCCCTCCTCGTCACCTCTTCAAGTCTCTCAGGGGCAGCGGCTCCTAACCTTCTGTGAACCACAGACCCCTCTGGCAGTCTGGTGACACCTACACATGCCTTCTCACTGTGTGACATCAACGACACAGGAGCATAAAGGAAGCCACTTAGTATTGACATACACTTCTAAGATCTTTAAAGACACAAACTAGTGACAAAGCATGAACGTGTAAAACAGCAAGAGCTGGCAGGGTGTCTAATAACCACCGTGATACTGAAGCAGTGACGGGTGTCAAGTTCAAGATACCGTAACACACTGCAAGGCGATAAGAACACAGCCGTGATCCCTGAGTGATAAAGCCACAGGGCTGCTGCTGGGACAGGCTTGCTGCCTACACTCATCGCTGAAGGTAACAACACTACAGAGCACTTAGAAGTTAGTGCCGACAAAACCGTGCTTTTCCCAACCCAAGTCCGCTGACCTGCTGCATTGCACCATGGGCTTCTTGGGAATATGGACCCTCTATGGCTCCTCTGATGGTTCTGCTTCACCAGGCCTGTCCCCTCCTGAGAGCTCCAGCACACCCCAGGTGGGCTCCTTTCTCCAAGCCTGCCTGACCCTGCAACCCCTGAGCTCTGCCAAGCACAAGGCATGAACCCCTGCACCGCCATCCCCAGCCACTAGGGAAACGGTGCTTCTTTCAGCCCCCCGGAAGCTGGTGACTGACGCTCGCACATGCTCCAGGGCCTTGGGGCTGGCTGCTGTATGGCACCTCATGATGACATTCTCCAGACACGCCCTGAGGGCCAGTGCTCCTTCCTTCTCACATGCGTTACCACCTCTGGGTAAGCTTGTTCCCCAGGAGGTGGGCTTATGGGCACTCTGGTTGGCTACCCCAACCTAGTCACTAGCCCATTGGGGAGAGACAGGGCTGAACCCAAGGCTGACCATGCCGGAAGCCACACGTGGGCCCTATGGCCAAGCTTGACCAGGGATCAGCACCAGGTGCATCCTACCTGCTTCACGTTGTAGCCGGTCTTCGCACTGGTCTCGATGAACATGACGCTCAGCTCTTTGGCGCGCTGCTCCCCCTCCTCGATGGTTATCTGCCTGCAGATGAGGGAAGGGGAACATCAGTTGGGTAGAGAGCAGCCCCTGGGAGAGGTAGAGGGAACAGCCTGAGAGGAGGGGGCCACCCAGCAGGGCGGAGGAGCCGACCAGGATGAAGGGGACACAGGGCACAGCAAGCCCCTTCTCTCCTCCTTCTGCAGTATCTTCCCCTTGGGAAGCAGGCCCTGTGGCAGGTGGGTGGAGCTGTCCCACAGCTGCCTTTCCCAATAGCGGCCACGGCCAGAGACTACATGTGTAAAGTGCTGCAGGCCACATACCACCTCTCTGGCTGGTGTCATCAGTCCTGTTTCCCGAATGAGAGCACTGAGGTTAAAGGGCCTGCTCCAAGTCGCCTACTTAGCAGAGGAGCTAGGCTTCGAGCCCCATTTTCTTCACGTCAGGAGGAGGATTCTAACAAAACAGTCTCTAACTCAGATTATTCCTTAAATGGTTAGAGTATATTTCAGGAAGCCCACAAGCTGGGTCCCCTCAGATAAGTGGACAAATGTATGTAAGTCAACTCTGTGCCCTGGAGCAGCCTCTTCAGAGTGTCACATCCAGACACAGCGCCAGACCTGAACTTCTGAGGTTAACACGTGGGACCAGGACCTCCAGACCCACACCCACACCGGTGCGGGCATGTCACGGGGCAGAGACACAGCACAAGCAGAAGTCGGCAGGAGCCTGCAGCTGTATTGCTGGTTGTGGCCAGTTCCCCAGACCATGCGCTGCTGGGCTGGGCCAGGTGCACGGGGCTCCATGAAGACCATGCACAGAGGAGCACCCTGGAACTGCCCCTGCCGGCAGTGCGAGGTGGGGCCTCAGAGATGACGAGGGCAGGGGTCTACCAGGGGCTTTCAAAGCCTCCAGCAACCCGCCGGTACCTTTCCAAGATGCATGGGAAGAGCACAGGCAGAGAGGGTGCTCACTACCCAGGCACCCCAGAACTCCTTGTCCAGGAGGAGTTGCGGAGGTGTGGAGGGTGGGCCCAGCCTGCCAGCCCCTGATCCTACCTCTTGTCAGCCAGGTCCGTCTTGTTGCCCACCAGCATGATGATAACGTCGCTGCCCCTCTCCGTCCTGACGTCATCAATCCACTTAGAGGTCTGCTGGAAGGAGTTGAGGTCTGGAGGTGGAAAGCGGGGATAGAACTGGGAGTGAGATACAGCCCCCACTGGGAGAGGGGAAAGGTGGGAAGGGGCAGCAGGCATACCAGACCCCGGGAGGGGCTGGAGCAGAGGCCACACAGGCCAGTGGGTCTGGGCCTTCCACAGGAGGCCCAGGAGGGTTTGTGGAGCTGCTGCCCCAGGGTCCTGGAGAGCCCCTGGCATTGCTGAGTCACTCTCTGGCGGAGAGAATTTACCCCGCCTGGAAGGTGACAGGGTCATGATTTGCTATGTGGACTAGTGGGAGCCTGGTGAGGGGCTGGGATGCCAGCGGACAGAGCCACAGCTGCTGGGGCAAACTTGCCCAGGGACCAGTGTCTTCTCCCACCTTGACACACAAGCACAGAAGTTGCTCTGCAGAGGTCTTCCTGGCAGCCAAGGCCAACAAGGGTGCAGAGGGGCGGGGAGCAGGGCCAACCTGCACAACCATGATTGGCGCAGGAGGGCGGGGAAGTGGAAAACACGCTGTGTTCAAAGGCAACTAACCCCCCAGTGGCAAGCACCTGCCTTCCTGCATTCAGACAGTAAGAGTGGGCATGTGTATATACACACACACATGCTGCAAACTGGCTGGGGCTCCACTCGGGCCCCGGAGCCCCTGGGAGCCAGGACCCACACTCACTAGTGATGTCGTACACCACGACGGCCACCGTGGAGTCCCGGATGTAGCTGGGGATCAGGCTGCGGAACCTCTCCTGGCCCGCTGTGTCCCAGAGCTGCAGTCGCACCTGTGGCAGGGAGGGCAGGGGGGTCAGCAGGGGCAGCCAGGTCCTCATGGTGGGGGTGGGGAGTGGGCGAGGTCCTGCTTCTGTGATGCTGGCACTGCCAGCTCTGGGGCAGGCATGGGCTCTCAGGGGTGCCCAGCTAAGGGTCCAGGTGATAGGTCAAAGGAGCACTCCCTGTCCTCCATGTTTTAAAGTCGGGCACTCACCGTACGATCCTCCAAGTACATGGTTTTTGACAAGAAGTCAATTCCAATGGTTGCCTGTTAGAGAAAAGCAGAGAGGTCAGAACTGAAGTCTTGGGCAAAGGGGCAAAAGCTCAGTGATTCAGGTAGTGACTGCAGAAAAATGGGGGACACCCATGCCAAATGCCAGGTGGGTCCTGCTCTGTTGTTCCTGGTTCCCACTTTCTCAACAGTGAACCTTCTCATCCCTCTCAGAGGAAGTGAGTTTGAGCTAAATCAAGATGAGGACAGGGTTTGTTTTGTTTGTTTGTTTGTTTGTTTGTTTGTTTGTTTGTTGAGTGATAGAAAAGGGCAGGGATGAGAAAACTGGGTGAGAAGGTTTCCCCAGGAACAAGGCCAGAAAGGGCCAGCTAGAATGAACGTCATCCCGGGACTTAAGATGACGGAGGGAAAAAACAAAAAAAATCTACCTCAAAGTTTAAATATGGTAAGTAACCCTTCCAAAAATATTAGCTGCCCATAACTGAATTGCCTATTAAAATAAAACTCAACACCGTTCAAAGGAAGGTAAGAGAATCCACGAATCCCTACAACAATCTCCCCTACACAATAAAAAAAGGATCAGACATTGTAAGGAAGCAGGAAATTCAAGCCACAATCAAAACAACAACTCAATAGAAACAGACCCCAGATAACCCAGATATTGGATTAGCAGACAGGACTTTTAAATAACGGATATAAATGTTAAAATATAAAGGAAAAGGTGAATATGATAGGCAAATTTCAAGAAATATAAGAAAATGCTAAAAGGAAAAAAATGAAATCTTAACACTAAAAAATACAATACCTAAAATAAAAATACATCGAATTTAAGTAGGAAAGGTCAGTGAACTGAAGAGAGGCCCAAAGAAATTGTTCAAACTGAAGCACAGAGAGAAAAAAGATGTAATAAAAGTGAAGACAGGATCAAGAGCTTCTAGGACAATATCAAGTGACGTGACATTACATGCAATTAGGCTCTTATAAAAAGAATAGAAACAAAATCAGCCAAAAAATGTTTTAAAAAATAACAGTCAAAATTTTTCCCAATTTGATTAGAAACACCAACCCACAGTACCAAGAAGCTCAGTGAACCTAAAACAGGATAAATACAAAGAAAACAACACCCACGCATATCATAGTCAAGTTGCTAGAAACCAAAGATAAAGAAAAAGCCTTACCAGTAGCCAGAAATAGAAAACACATTATATGCAAGGAAACAATGACAAGAATGATAGCTGATTTCTCGTCAGAACAATGTAGGACAGAAGACAATGGAACAAACCTTTAAAGTTCCAAAAGAAACAACAAGCATCATGCCAACCTAGAATTCTATATCCAGTGAAAACTTTAACAATGAAGGCAAAACAAAAACGTTTTCAGATAAGGGAAAGCTGTGATAGTTTGTAACCAGTGGGCCCTCATTACAGGACATGCTTTAGGATGAAGGGAAATTTTTTTTTAAAAAATATATTTTATTGATTTTTTACAGAGAGGAAGGAAGAGGGATAGTTAGAAACACAGATGAGAGAGAAATATCCATCAGCTGCCTCCTGCACACCCCCTACTGGGAATGTGCCCGCAACTAAGGTACATGCCCTTGACCGGATTCGAACCTGGGACCTTTCAGTCCGCAGGCTGACGATCTATCCACTGAGCCACAGCGGCTAGGGCATGAAGGGAAATTTTAAAGATGGAAATTTAAATCTTTAAAGAAGGAACACAAGCACCAGAAATGATAAATCTATGGGTTTTATTTAAAGAACATGTGACTTGTCCTTGATCACCTCCTGCTTCCACCCATAGAATTCTCCCCTCTATTTTGCCCCTGCCACATCCTCAGCAAAAATTACTCTCAGAAGATGGCCTAAAATCCTACTTTACAATAGCAGGAATAAACCACTTCAATTCCTTCTTTGGTTTTACACTCTAATATAACAATAACCGCTGTAACAATGACTAAACATCGGAGTACTGATCATTTGCCAGCTACTGTGCTAAGTGCTGTACATGCATTATTTAATCCTGATAACCTATGCTAGGGGTCATGTTCATTAGTATTCATATGTCACTGGTAAGAAAACTGAGTACAAGAGTGCTTTCCCAGCGTCAACAGCTGGAAGTGGCAGAGCCAGGATTTAAAAAGTACAGTATTTGCACAGTTGTCTACATGTTCCTGGCTTTATCCCTACATCCTTCCAGGTTCTAAGTACTTCTTTGCTCCTGTTCAAAGCTAGCCTCTCCTTTATTCTTGAAAATGAATTTTACTCCCTATGTCTAGTAATTTTTACTTATATCCTACACATTGTGATTAAGACTATGGATTTCTGTTTGTTCCTTTGGAAGAACATTGGTTGAACTGTGACCAGGTGTTTCTGGGAAAGGCTGCATATTCTAGCCCAGGGGTGGGCAAACTTTTTGACTCGAGGGCCACAATGGGTTCTTAAACTGGACCGGAGGGCCGGAACAAAAGCATGGATGGAGTGTTTGTGTGAACTAATATAAATTCAAAGTAAACATCATTACATAAAAGAGTACGGTCTTTTTTTTTTAGTTTTATTCATTTCAAACGGGCCGGATCCGGCCCGCAGGCCGTAGTTTGCCCACGGCTGTTCTAGCCCAAGCATGCCAAACTTGTGGCCCGCGGGCTGCATGCCTCGTTTATTTGGCCCGTGTTAGCCTTTGAGTTTGACATGCTTGTTCTAGCCCCTAGTAGAGATCCATAAAGCACACTGGCATAGTAAAGGCTCTGAAAAGTCCTGCTCTGAAGAAACATGAACAATTTCATGTAACCCAACGTTTCCCAAGCTTCTTTGCCCTGGGAATCTTTGTGCTTATAATTCCTCCTAACATCCTAGTGTTTCCAGAACTTCAGGAAAGGCTGACCCTCAAAGGGGTGGGTTCTAAAGGAGACCACATCCCTCTTCTAGCTCGCCTTAGAGCAGCGGTTCTCAACCTGTGGGTCGTGACCCCTTTGGGGGTCGAACGACCCTTTCACAGGGGTTGCCTAAGACCATCGGAAAACACATATATAATTACATATTGTTTTTGTGATTAATCAGTATGCTTTAATTATGTTCAATTTGTAACAATGAAATTGGGGGTCACCACAACATGAGGAACTGTATTAAAGGGTTGCGGCATTAGGAAGGTTGAGAACCACTACCTTAGAGTCTTGGTCAAAGCATTCGTTCTTTGTACTTCATTTCCACTTATAAGGTATGGAGTAAATTATTATTATTATTACTTTTTAAATATATTTTTATTGATTTCAGAGAGGAAGGGAGAGGGAGAGAGAGATAGAAACATCAATGATGAGAGAGAATCACTGATGGGTTGCCTCCTGCATGCCCCCCACTGGGGATCGAGCCCGAAACCTGGGCATATGCCCTTGACCGGAATTGAACCTGGGACCCTTAAGTCCACAGGCCGATGCTCTATGCACTGAGCCAAACCAGCCAGGGCTGGAGTACATTATTCTTGCTGGTAACTAGGCCACAGGGATGTAAAGAGGATATCAGGACAAATGAACAGCAGGCTTGACTTTGGGGACTTGCCCGCCAGTCCATGGCCATCACCATCCCCTCTCCTCCTGAGCAGTACTGCAGGAGCCTCCTGGAATGCCCTCTGGGGAGGCTGGGCTGCACTCTGCTGTGATTGGGTCGCCCCAAACCTGGCAATGCTTATTTATTCCTTTAATATCATCTTGCTGGCAAACGGTACTGCTTATGAAAAATGGCAGGTACTTCATTTTATACAAAACACAAGGAACGTAACAAGCCCAGATTTCATAGCCACATCCACATTTATCTTCTAAAGGTGGTATTAAGCAGTGTCAAAGGGGGCTCACACACACAGTGCAGACTGTACATCACACGCCTCCATCTGTACAAAACCTTCCACTGCCTAGCGGATCCCCAAGGGAAGAGATGTTCCCTGTGGCACTTGTTGAAATCTTCTTTGCTATGTGCATTTATTATGAAATATATTTTGCATCCACATTCTGACAAGACACAGTAATAAAGTCAGCAGCGGAAATTTGCATGGTCATTTGCATAAATTGACTCAAGACTCTCCTCAGGAAGAGAAGTCATGAAAAGGAGTGTATGTGTGTCTTTTTGTAGCCTTGGCCAGGCCCTGGCCCGTGGCTGGGGAAGCATCCCTAAGTGGCAGAAAGCAGCTGGGCCTGACAAGCCCTCGACAATGGAGCTGCTGTTTGTGCTCCACACCACCAACCATTAGATGAGAGTATCAGGGTAAAGTCATGCAAATTAGCATGCAAATGAGGTTGGCAAAACTTAAGCATTCAGACTGGCAAGCAGGTGCTGTGGGGAAGGAGACAGCAATCCCTGGAAAACATGCTGGGCTGGGTCTGTCCTTGCCAGCAGCTATGTGCTCTGGGGAAGGGGATGCGGGGTACGAGACACAGCGCAGGTACCTCAACTTCAAAGTCTACACAGTCCTGGTGGCCACTTTCCTTTAAGTGGAGAGTGGCTTGTGCTAGTCAACACCCAATGAAATATTTGTTGATTGCTCTTTTATTTCCTGACTGTGGTCTGAAACATCAACCAAACAACATGCACCTTCCAACTTTACATAAGGGGTTACATTTCATCAAAACCAGTCAATCTGCTCATGGATCCCTGAGCAGTCTCCTGAAGGGCCACATAAAGATCCAAGTGCATACCAGTGGTCGGTAAACTGAGGCTCGCGAGCCACATGCGGCTCTTTGGCCCCTTGAGTGTGGCCACGAAGTTCTAATTGCACTGTACGTGCACGCCCGCACGTGGTATTTTGTGGAAGAGCCACACTCAAGGGGCCGCAGTTTGCCAACCACTGGCATAAGCCGTCTTTAATCATTAGGGCAAAAGATGCTCCAGGTGGTGGACTTTGAGGTTGTCTAAGAGCTACCTAAGTGTAGCCTACAAAGTGAATTAGGAAGGATTACTACAATATGGGGCAGAGAATTGCATCATGGATCCATTCAACTTAGGAAATGTAGCTACCAGGGACTTACCAGTAGCTACTGGCAGGCCCTG